CTTTATAAATAAAATTAAGTACTCTCATAGATTAAAAGGCTATTTGTATTTTTTTAAAAGTGAACCATTTGTTTATAAATTTGGCTCATTTAGAGGTAGGTCATTCATATGTGCTGCATTTTTCCCCATTTATCTGCTTTATCTAGGGTTTGTGGAACTTCTTGCTATAGAATTCATTCCCTGTAGGTTTCAAGGCCTATCTTGTATTGGGTTAACAGTGATTGAGCTTATTATATCTCAAGTATTCCTTTTGCAATGCTGTTCTTTAAAATCATGTTCTGGCTTCCTGTTTTATTAATTTAACTTTTGCTTACCAAGATCTATGTTTTTATAAATATTCATGTAACAATACTATAATGATACCAAAAACAGAAATGTCCAAACTAGAGATTATAGACTATGCAAAATCATTATGAGTGCTGCTGCTATATAAAGGAAAGAACTCTGGCCAGAGACCTATATTCCAACAATGTCTTATTTTCTTTGTAAGTATAAAGAACTGAACTGATTTAGAGATAGCTAGAGTTTGCTGAACCCTATGTTTCTGTGATTATTTTCTCCATTACTTTTTTTGTTTGTTTTTAATTGTGGTAAAATATATATTAATCATTTTAAAGCATACTGTTTAGTAAGGCACAATCATATTGAATCATATTGCTATGCAAACAATTTCTAAAACTTCTTGGCAAAACTGAAATTCTGTACCTATTTAATACCTCTTCCTTTCACTCTCCCTCCAGTCCCTGGAAAACACTTTTCTACTTTGTCTCTATGAATTTGACTACTCTAGATACCTCACATAAATGGAATCACACAGTGTTTTCTTTTTGTGTCTGGCTTATTTCACTTAGCATAATGCCCTATCTACTTTGTAGCATTGGTCAGAACTCCCTTCCATTTTAAGACTGAATAACATTCCACTGTATGAATATACCATATTTTGTTTATACACTCTTTGGTGAACACTAGTGTTGCTTCTGCCTTTAGTTATTGTGAATAATGCTACTGTGAATCATACATGGACATACAAAATTTCTATACTCTGTTTTCAATTCTTTTGGATATACACACAAAAATCTATGATTTATTTTCAAATATAACTGAAAAGAAAAATAAATATTACAACTTACCATATCCTTCCTTTCCATATGCAAATGAAGGAGGTATAATCACTTTTCGCTTCTCTCCAGGGCACATATCCATCATAGCAATGTCTAGGCCTTTTATGACTTGTCCAACACCAAGAACAAACCATTTGGGGTGACCTTCATTTTGTGTCCGGCTATAATAAAAAATTATCTTAGGTAAGCTGATTTCAAGAAGCCAAACTTCAAATTACAGGTGGGTGTTTAGTTATAATTTAAAATTAGAATATCTTTTCCCATACTAGCACCCTTTTTGAACCCCCAATGGGATATTTGGCTCAAACTTGCCTAAAATTGGTAGAAAGAGGTATGATTTGCTCAAAGCTAATCATTAGGAGTCATCTCAATTTCTTTTTTATTCTGATCGCTACAGAAACAGTTCACTTTTTAGTGGGTCTCCAGCCTCTAACTTGCTGTCTGGTTTATACATATAACTCATTTAACTTATCTGGGTTTGTTCTAAAAAAAAAGATGGAGTGGGTTTAGTCTCAAAAAGCCATTTTAATGGTAATTTAAAATAGTATATATATATATATATGTGTGTGTGTGTGTGTGTGTGTGTGTGTGTGTACTGGAGACTGAACCCAGGGGTGCTTAACCTCTGAACCACATCCTTAGCCCTTTTTTGTATTTTATTTAGAGACAGGGGCTCCTGAGTTGCTGAGGCTGGCTTTGAATTTGAGATCTTCCTGTCTCAGCCTCCCTCACTGCTAGCCTTATAGGGTGTACCACAGCCTTAGCCTACATGTCTCTCTTTTCTTCTAAATAAGAAGAATTTACTTTCCCCCAATCTTATCTTTATAGGATAATAGCATTTGGACTCAGAATAATATACTGTTCATTAAATCAGACTAAGCAGTAGGTGGGATGAGAGTAGGACAGAGGGCCCAGCAGAAAACACCAGGCAAGTCATTGTTGTGGTCGTAGTGAGAAACCACACTCCACACTCCAGCTTGAGGGATGGAATAAAATTTTTTTAGCTATCATCCAATGTGATTCTTAGTAAAGATGCTTCAATTTAGGGAAATTATGAATGCTATCATAGGTGATCTCTTGATTTAGTCCTAAGGATAGTGGTGGTAGTTGGAGATGTGTGGGGGTGTAGTGTACTTTTATCAGAAACTAAGCCATCATTTTCAACAACTAAAATATATTCAGTTTACTAGAGAACTACTGACATCTAATTTGATTTTTTAAAATGACGAAATGACCAAGTGTGGTGGTGCACGCCTGTAATCCCAGCGGCTGGTGAAGCTGATGCAGGAGGATCACAAGTTCAAAGCCAGCCTCAGCTACTTAGTGAGCCCCTGTCTCAAAATAAAAGGGCTAGGGTTGTGCTCAGTGGTTAAGTACCTCTGGGTTCACTCCCTAGTACCAAAAAGAAAAACAACAACATCAATAACAAAAACAAATAAATGGTTCAACTTACTTTAAACAGAAACAAAACAACCAAATAATTAGCCTTTTGGTTGGTGGAAGGAGGTAAGATTTGGTGTATCAGTTGGACATGGGGACAGTTTGCAGCATTTCTTACCTGCAGTAGAATTTCGAGCCATCTTTAGCCAAGTAGCCATCGTAATGGGCATTAAGCAGGTCTCCCTTCTTGCTTGTCTTAGAGCAGTTTTCGGGACGATGCAAAATTTCTATTTTCACTTCCTCTGGGCTCTCTTCTTTCTTTAGTCCCTGAGCAGTAATAAAGCCCCACAGGTAAAAGAAAACAACTAATCTGGATAAGAAATGCATGATTCCTGGAACAGGCCCCAAGATACCACCGCGTTCCCCACCGCGTGTCTTTCGCTTTGGGTGGCTCTTCCCAGGGCAGAATTCCGACGCGTGGCAGGCATTGTCGTACGTCATAAAGAGCCTGGGCGGGGCTTCTAGATGCCCCGCCCCCAGCCGCGCGCAACAACTGTAGTTTTCGTGGGGTGTGGGATCTGACGCATGTCTGTGATAATGGGCTCTTGGGTTGGCTGTCCTCTGTTGCTAAGGTGTCGCAACCTCGCACGCTTCTCCTCGAGAAGTCCGCGTGTTTTAGAGCCGGTTTCCTCCAGATTCAGTAGTAACACTCCCGTTTCCTAAAATAAAACTGTGTAAAAGACGAGATGAACAGTCTGCGGTGGGATGTTTTAGAACCAGAGAATATAATCGTTATTTCTGGTGCAAAAGGCTTATAAGACCCATAGGGAACTAGCGGGAATGGAGGGGGGGACAGGTATTCTGGAAAAAAGACGGTAAGGCTTGAGGTTGCTGAGTGCTTCTGGAGCGTCCTTAAAGTTCTTTCTTGGGGTCGGAGTCATGCATTAAAGAGTTCCAGACCTCGTTAGTCATACACAGCCTGACAGTTACCTGAACTGGTCAAATAGCCACGTCGCTGTACTCAGCGATTTGTAACCCGCCACTGCCTTTCGTTTCCGTCTGCCACCACTCCGGGCCACCCTTGACTTGAGGGACTCTAGTATTGCGGGAAAAGCTCTTGACCTTTTTTTCCCCTGCTAACTCTGTGACATCAGATTTATCCACATCAGATGAGGAGACTTGAATACCGGGCATTTTGGTCCAATCTCGCAGCTAATATGCAGCAAAGATTAGGCCAATTCTGTTTGATGCAACCCCCTTCCCTCATTTCAGTATGAAAACCTTCCAAACATAGAAAAGTAGGAATTTGCAGTGAATACCCTATACCCACCAACTAGATTCTATCATTAATGTTGAACTGTTTTCGATTTACTACATATCCATCTCTCCACCAATTCACCTTATTTCCAAGTGAAAGTCCAGACTACCCCAAACTAGAAAGCTTTCAGAAAGGCCTGGATTAACTTTTGGGAAGAGACATATTATTCTATCTCAATGATGCTATAAGTCTCAGCACTGAGGCTACTTTATGTGATTGCTTAGAGGGTGGTGACCCTCATAGCGAATTAGAGTTTGCAAAATTCTATAATTCTGAAAATTACTGTCAATTATGCGAAGTGACAATCATTACCAACCAAGATTAAAAAAAAAAAAAAAAAACCACCATAAAAGCTAGAAGAGGTGGGCATTGTGACACAGGCCTATTAGCTGAGGCAGGAGGATTGCAAATTCAAGGGCAGTCTTGGGAATTTATAAAGACTCTATCTCAAGACAGAATAAAAAGGGATGAGGATGTTGTTCTGTGGTAATTACCTAGCGTGCTTGAAGGCCTTAGTTTAATTCCTAGTACTACACACAAACACACAAGTTAGGAGAAAGCCTCTATTAATACAATTTCAAAATTTGCAGAAAGCCCCTATTTTTCAAATACAATTTCAAAGTTTAGAGAAAGCCCCCCCCCCCCCCCGCCATTGCAATTTCAAAGTTTAGTTCCACGTTTTATATTCTAGATAAAATCCTGGCTCTCCAAGGTTATTTATTGGGATGATGGCAATTTCTTGTCCGAGGACCCCATCACAGCTGTAATTTTACCTTCCTAGAAGAGAATTTCTCGGACACCCTGAGTGTGAGAAGAATATGAAGCCCACACAAGCCTTTTATTTTCTTAAAATCAAACAAATAAAAATCACCAAAGGACCTTAGGCTACCCTACAGGAACACTCTTAATAGGAGAGGCCTATGTCACTGTCCCCGAGACTAATGCACCGGAGCTCGTGCTCAGACAGAGCAGGGTTGAGCGCGGCAGGGCCCAAGTGAAGAAAGACTGCGGAGCCGCAGGGCCTGGGCGGAGAAGGAGGAGGCCAGACTTGCGCCACACCCGCGCGCGCTGCTTGCGCCGCCTCCGGCACAGCGGCGGGGCGACAGGCCGCGCCCGCTCCTGCAGCCCCGCCGCCGGGGAGGGGTTTCCCGGGACGGGCCGGCCCCTTTCATCCAGGAAGTGAAAGCGACGTCGGGGTCAATGAAAACAAACGGGGAACCCGGGGGAAGGAAGGCAGGCGAGGAGGAGGGAGCGCCGGGGCGCGGAAGAGAGCCACCGGGCCGCGGAAGTGCGAGCGGGAGGGCGGCTGCGGTCGCCTTTTTACCGTTGCCACGGTCGCCGCCACCGAGGCTCGCCCGGGATGTCTGAGCGCGCGACTCGCGGCCCCGGAGCACCACGCGGCACCCGCCGTCCCGGCCTCTAAGCCGCCACGTCCCGGCGGCGCGCGCGGGCTGAGGGCGGCTTAGGACCGGCGGGGACCAGGGAGGGGGCCGGGGCGCCCGGGAGGGGCTGCTGCCCCAGGCCCGGTGCCTACCCCCATCTGCGTGGCCGGCGCCTGGCCAGGAGGATGCGCGGCGCCGGGCTCTGAAGCATGGAGGGGGTTCTGTACAAGTGGACCAACTATCTCACAGGTATCGGGGCTCCCATGGTCCAGGGTCAGCGGGGAGAGGCTGAAGGGTTGGGCAGGCTTAGGCTGTGGAGATGGTGGATCAGGGGCCCCCTCTCTGCCTGGAGGGTGGTGACCCTCATAGCGAATTCAAAGCTTAATCCCCCTCTGGGTCCCTCTCGGAGTCTATTTGGCCTCCGCCGAGGAGAGTTCGAGACTGCGCACCTTCCTGAGGATGGGACGTGCACCAGACCACTTCTTTGCTGTGTGTAGTAATAGTTCTGATTGCCCCCTGTAGCTTCCAGAACTATTCTCAGTCACCCCCCATGTGTGTTGCATTCTCAGCCCTTGTTCACACTTAATAGTCAGTGGTTTGTTAATAACAGTTGTCCGGGGTATTGGACAGGATTGGACTCTTAGGATCAAGATTTAATTTTAAGAGATGTTTTCAATATTCCTTTTAACCTCCTGAACAACACTATTGATTTTAGAAGTTCACTTGTTGAACTTAGCAAGCATGGTTTTGGAATCTGTCCCCAGGTATTTTTCTTTTAAGGGTTGGTTTTCAACGAAGTATCCGAACGTTTGGGAATTCAGGTAACTGAGAAATAGTGCAAGGAAGTGCAATACACAGAAATGGAGCAGGCTTATCGGATTCATCCATGAGATGGGTTGGAAGGAAGAACTACATACTGTTAGTAGCTTCGGTGGAAAGGGCCACTTTCCATGATAATGAAGGCTATTAAGAGCTCTTAAGTCTGAATTGTAGTGCAGTCTCTACTATCAATCAGCGCTAAATTAGGCAAATGGCTTGTTCTCTCAGGATCTCAGTCTTTTTGTAAGGCCTGTGTGATCAACAACTGGAAGTGTCTTCCAACTCCTGAGTTTTATTATCTCACCAAATAAGAGGAAGGGGAATGTATTTAAAACATTGGAATAGTAAACAGATTTCTTGGTTAAACGTAATGGCAAATATTGACTTGCTGCCCACTTACTCTGCCAAAGATATTGAACCCTTTAGTGATTATATGCTGTACTCAACTTGTGTTCACTGGACTTTGTGCAAAATCTGCATATACACACTATAAGGCATAGGTACTGAGCCATAGTTGTTCTTGGTTTTTGGTTAATTAGAACCTTAAAGCCAGATATACAGTAGCAGATACTTTAATAATTATGAATCACTGATGTTTTATTTCGTTCAAAATAAAAATTTATTTCCTTAACTATCATATTTTAACAGGAAACATTTTAAAAAATAAGGCACATTTAAAAACATTAAATTAAAAAACTTTTTGGTGACGCTGAGAAGTGAACTCAGGGCCTTCCACATGCTAAGCAAGTGTTTTACCACTGAGCTACACCCCTGACCCCAAGACAAATATTTTTTATTAAGTATTTTCATTTGGGTGGTTGTGAGAAGCACAGTTAGTGTTTGGTTGAGGTATCACATTAATGGTGAGTCAGTAGCTTCTATGCTTTGAGATGCAAGTGATTGCCTCATTGCAAATATTTGTAAGCACTGTGTCCTGGGAGTTCATGCCAGATGAACCATTTCTGAGTAGCCCAGAGCAATGGCAGTTACCAAGATGAGTCATAATTTAAGGTGAGGTTTCACTTGGAGTGAAATGTGGTCTTGGCAGTTTCCTCATATCCTTTGGTACTGAGTACCAGCTGTGTCTTAGGTTTTAGTCTTTGCAGAACATTTTAGGTAACTTCTAGAAAGCTATGTAGGGTTTGCTGAAATGAAATCTTTGGTTTGGAAGGATTCCATTTTTAAAATTTAAATCTGGCTCCCCCACATGCTGATTATTAATTAGTTCATCTTGGGTCTGTAGGACAAGCAGCTGTCCATGCTAAATGGTTTTTAAGGACCTCCTGTGTCCTTAAAATTTAAAATTAGTGTAATTTGGGAATCCTTTGTAGAATTAGAGTTTTGGTAACTTTTGGTAGTTTGATATAAAAATATGTGTTTTGTTTTTTTAAAGAGGAATTTTTAAAAGGGAGTAATGTGTGGATCTTTTCCACAGGTACAGTCCTATATTGTGTAAATGTTTATACAACAGGTTGGGTTGTTAAATATTTCTTCAAAAAAGGTATATAGTGATTATTAACAGACTTGGTTAGAATAATATATTCAACCATGATCACCATTTGTGTTCCTACAAATTCGAAATGAATCATTTTACTAAAAAAAAAAAAAAAATTTTTTTTTTTTTTTTTTTTTTTGGTGTATGTATGTGTATTACTAGGGCTCAAACCCAGGGCTTTTGGTAAACATACTGGACAAACACTGTACCTCTGAGCTATATCTCCAGCCCATTTTGCTTTATTTAGAGACAAGGTCTTAATAAGTTGCCTAGGCTGGCCTTGAATTTGTAGGCCTCCTTCTTCAGCCTCCTGAGTTGCTGGCATTACAGAAGTGTACCACAGTGCCTGGCTTCAATATTTGTTTTAAATAGATATTGAATTGCAATAATCCACATTTGCAGAATCATACTTTGTCCTATAGGTACACTGGATCTATGGTGGAGGAATATACTTTCATACTCTGCTTATAATTTGCTCACCAAGGTGAATTACTATTTGGAAATATGTTTTCATCATTTCTATACATGTTCAATACTTATGAATAATAATATTTAATGTCTGTTTTTTTATGGATCATAGCAAGATCTCACATTTATGGTGTTCATTCATTTGTTTTTTTCTGTCACTTGAGAAATATATTTTTTAAACACCTGTTACGCCAGGCACCAACCACCATTCTAATTGCTGGGAATGCAGTGATGAACATGATAAAGTCCATGTATTCAAAAGAACTTTCTAATTTGGCAGGCCGCATTAGGGTATATAGCATTCTTAAAGATGGATTTTCCAAGCCAGGTGTGGTGGTGCACTCCTATAATTCTGGTAGCTCAGGAGGCTGAGACAGGAGGATTGCAAGTTCAAGGCCAGCCTCAGCAATTTACTGAGGCCCTAAGCAACTTAGTGAGACTCTGTCTCAACATAAAAAAATCAAAAGGGCTGTGGATATAGCTCAGTGGTAAACCATCCCTGGGTTAAAATCCCCAGTGCCAAAAAAAGCAACAGCAAAAAATGTTTTCTAGGCATCTAAGGCTGCTTGATTTATTTATTTTGGACATCTATCTTTCTGAACTGTATTATAGCATTTTCTACTTTCTTATAAACTTTTTTTTTTTTTGGTGCTGGGGATTGAACTCAGGGCTACTCAACCACTGAGCCACATCCCCAGCCCAATTTTATATTTTATTTAGAGACAGGATCTTACTGAGTTGCTTAGTGCCTCACTTTTGCTGAGGCTGGCTTTGAACTCATGATCCTCCTGTCTTAGCCTCCCAAGCCACTGGGATTACAGGCATGTTCCACCAAAAATTTAACTTTTTAAATGATGACTCGGTGCTGTCATTTCAAAAGTGTTATAGGTAAAGCCTTTTGGGGAAGAAAGTCCTGGGTTTGTAAAGCAAGGTTTAAGAATATTTCACCTGTCTGCCCTTTTTTGGTACTATCTGCCTTGGAAAAGCTGAATTGATTAAGCATATAACTGGTTATAGCTAAATCTAGCAGGATTTGAACACCAGTGGTTTAAAAGGTGGTACATTTTAGCCTAGAATACCTGTGCCAAATTGTGACTTAATAGTTACAGAAAGAACAAGGACAGTCACACTGCCTCCAGCATTGTCACCATGTTGTTAGTTAGTGAACTGTTGTAAATTAGTAGCATGCTTGATAAGATTCCAGGGAACATGGAGTTTGGTTTGCAAGAGGAGTGGGAGTTGGGCACCAAGGAAAACCATCTTCCTGCTTACCAGGTTTGCCTTAGAGCCAAGTCTGTAGCAGATCAGAGGAAGGAAGGGAGGTCATGGGGAATATATGTTCTTACATAGGTTATAGAGTCTGTGTAAAGATTGGAATTCACTTAGCTCTTATATGGTGTTTAAGGGAGTTTGCTTAGACAATGTATTTTCTAAGAGAAGGGAAGGCCATTGTAGAATTAGAGGGTTAGGTCGCAGCTGAGGGGGTCATCTTGTGCAACCTACTTGTTTTGGAGACTGGGTACTTTAGAGACTTATTGAAATGAAAAGATTTGCCCCTGGTTATTCAAAAAGAATGATTGTAGAACTGAGTCTAAAATCCCTGTTTTCTGTTACTGTTCCAGTTTGAGCATTGATAACCTGAAATCCAAAATGCTGCAAAATCTAAAATTTTTTGAGTTCTGACATATTACAAATAGGAAATTCCACATATCACTTCATAGGATGAATCACAGAACCAGAAATATTGTATAAAATTACCTTCAGGCTGTGTGTATAAGGTGTACATGAAACAATGAGTTTTATATTTAGACTTGGGGCCCATCCCCAAAGTATCTCATTATGTATATGCAAATATTCCAAAGTCTGAATCCCAAACACTTCTGGTCCATTTTGGATAAGGGATACTCAGTCTGTACTCATGAAAAGGAGCAATTATGTTGTACCTTGTGTAGGGCTATTATTGAAGCTGATTCCAGGGAACCATTTCTCTAGCAAGGACATTTTGGGCAAGTGTTGGCCATTAAAAATTTTATTGTCAGATGTTTCTTGAGAGCCAAGAAATCATGTATATGTCAGGGCTTGAAATCACAGTTTTCTATGGGATAAAAGTAAATTCTTGTTAACCTTTGTTATTTATGATCTTTTTAGGTTGGCAACCTCGCTGGTTTGTTTTAGATAATGGCATTCTATCCTACTATGATTCACAGGATGATGTTTGCAAAGGGAGCAAAGGAAGTATAAAGATGGCAGTTTGTGAAATTAAAGGTGAGTAAAAATAGGGAATTAGGAATTTGAGGTTAGGTAATAAAGGTTCTATAGCATGCTCCAAATGAGGACAAAAGCATTTCCAATTATGTAGCAATTTTCTAGTGCTATTAATTTCCTTAGCAGTCAGGAGTGGCATATAGCATTGGTTTTGATAATTCTCCCTTTATAAATGTACTGTGAATTGAAATTCAGAGTAACTGTGCTACTTTTCCAGTTTGACCGTTGCAATTTTTTGCTGGATGCCACTTTTTTGTCCATGATGCCTCCATGTGCATTCTATTTAATTCTTATAGAAAGGTACTGTAAAGATTAAAAGTTGAGCTCTGAAGATGACCATGCCAGCTCTGATGGGTATTGATAAAGTCAGAGGCATAAGCTTTGATTATCTGCTGAACTGGAGATAAGTTCTAGATGATAGAGATGATTTCCTTCCCTTCCAAAGGGGGAGGAATAAAGCACTAGGTCATGCTGTAATTTTCCAGAATGTTTCATGGATCATTGATTCATTTATATTTGTGGTTGGGGTGGTTGTTGTGGGGATAGGCACTATGAAATCAGACAAAATTATAATGAAAAGTCTTGAATTCCAGAGTGAATTGAGGAAAAACTAGAGCATTAGAAGAGGTGTGTGTTAAATTCTCTCTAGGCTTTTCTCATCCCCCTTCTGTAGCCCGAATACTTGTCCTTTGTAAAGAATAGTTCTTTGGAAATGGTGAGCTCTTGCTCATAGCTGCCAGGTACTCCAGAGTTGTTTTACCTCTCTACATTTTCTTAGATTCAACCAGAGCAGCAGCTAATGCATTGTGTTACTTTTTCCAGGGCTAGATTGCTACTTCTTTGTGATTTTTCTAGTAATTCTTAGTTAGATTTACCCAAGGAGACTAAGGGTATTTTTCTTCTTTGGATGCACATTCTTTATCTACAACATCTGTTTCCTCACCTTCATTTCAGAGTTACTAGTAGGTTCTTTCATTATCCATATTCTCAAAGAGGAGAAGGTGATGTCTTCTGGGGAGCTTTCACCAAACTGCATGTGCCCGGTGATTGTATCATGTCTGCTTTAGTTGATTGTTATTACAGTTTTAATGGAAGAGAGTCTTGGCTACATGAATAGAGATAGAAGCACTGCAGCCTGGTTTTTTTTTATTACATGCATGTTTCTAACAAATATACTGAAACATATACCCAAAAAAGTGTTGGCTTTCCATATATTCATTTTGGTGTCTGTAATTATTTTCAACTGTATTATCACCACCTATAACATTTTAAAAGTGTTTTCTTGAAATTGCCTTATGAGCCAGTTTATAAATGCACAAGAAGAACACATCCAGAACATTAGTTTTTATTTAAAAAAATGTTTGTTTATCTTATTCCTGATAATCCCAGATGAGGTCTGGTCATAAATCAAAACTACAAAGTTAGAAGCTTTGCCATCTTTGAAAATATTTAAATGACAGCTGTGGAATTCTTATGCCAAAACAGTTTCAAACCATGGCAACATCATTGTTGGTTTAATCGTTTTTATTAAAGAATAACAAACTCATAGAAAAGATCATAAATGTTAAAAAAAATGTTCAGACGTTAAAAGTGAAAGAATCTGTGTAGCCACCACAGATCAAGAATTAGGTTATCACCAGACACTCAGAAATCTGCTGTGGGGGTCCGCTTAGCCACTTATCCCCTAAAATGTCATCAGTCATCTAGCCTTTATCCCTGTTATAACTAGAGCAGTTCAGTATTTTCTTTTGTGTCTGGTTTCTTTTTACTCAGCATTATTTTTGTGAAATCCAACCATATTCTACTTCATGGTGGTTCAGTCATTGTTATGTAGTATTCCTGTGTGTGAATAGTCCATAACTTTTGGGTTATTTCCACTTTGAGACTATAATGAGTAAAGCTATCCTGAACATTTTTTTAATTAAAAAAATTTTTCCTGTGGTATAATAAATATAAAATAAAGTTTATCATCTTAACCATTCTTAAATGTATAGTTCAGTAATGTTAACATTTTACACATTTCTTTTATCAAACATAAGTAGGCCTTTATAATTAGTATATGTCTAGTAGAGTGCAATTGCTGAGGCATTGAATATTTTATATATTTAGCTTTAAGAGGTGTTAAAGAAAAACATTCTTGACATTTGTTAAAATAGTATGGCATGCTTTATTTAGGACTGTGGTGATAGATATAGGGAGTGGGTTTTGTAGCAGAGGAAAGAAAGTGAACTCAACTCTGAATACAACAAGGAAAAGTGGGATCTGACAACCCAAATGCAGGACAGGGGAACTGGCAGTTGAAAAGTTACTAAGAAGAAACTTTAGGGACACTGGGGATTCTAACTAAACCCACTTAACAGGATTCTTGCAGAGGTAGGTCAGGATGATCAGTTACTTCCAGTAGGGTGGTAAGGAATAAAGAATTTGTTCATATACAAGGGTAAAGAGATATCCAGGATGGGAGATTCTGACTTGGCAGAGTTCTTGCTGAAACTGGTCTCTATCAGCATGGAGACGGAAGCCCAGTGGAGCTGAGGACTCAAAAGATCCTGACTGAAATTTGGTTAAGGGGAGAATCTTTCAGAGATGATTCCAGACTGTTTTCCAAAGTCCTTCTATGAACTTATTGATATCAACTTATTGATAGAAGGACTTTGAGCATTTCACTTGTTCTATGTCTCATCAAAACTTGACATTGCCAATTTTTTAAAATTTTGAATATTTCTATAGGTATACTGGTATCTCTTGGTGACTTTAACTTGTATTTTTTCAGTAACTAATGATGTTGAGTATTTTTTTCTTCTTGAATATTAAACAGTCATTTGAATATCCTCTTCTTTTAAAGTCCCTTTTCAACTCTTTGTCCCATTTTCTGAACTTGACTATCTCTCACATTGATTTACAGGACTTCTTTGTATAATGTGAATGAGTTTTTGTATTACAAGTATCTTCTCTCACTCTGTTTGTATTTTCAATTTGTTATTAGTATCTTTTGATGAACAGAAGTTTTTAATTTCAGCAAAGTCCATTTTGCAAATAATTTTTACTAGAACATTTGATTCCCCTTTTAGGACATCTTCTATGTCATTTTTTTTGAAGTTTTCTTGTTCTACCATTTATATTTAGTTCCAAATTAGATATGTAAGGTAAGAATCAAGATTCATTTTATTTCCATATGGATGTATCTAACTGAGCACATTTTTGAAAATGCCCCCCCTCCCCATTATAGGGATGTCTTTGTCTCTGTGGGTCTTTCTAGGCTGTTTAATTCTATGGGTTTTTTTTTTTTTTCTCTTTTCTTTCTATCCTTGTGCCAATAGCACACTGTCTTAATTTCTTTAGCTTTATATTCTTTGTATCCTGTAGTCTTAAGTTTTTTAACTTTTTTCCTTGTCAGTATTATCTTGGCTATTGGCCCTTTGCATTCCCTTATACATTTTAGAATCTGCTTGTAAATTTCCACAAATATCTGCTGAATTTTGGCTGGAGTGACATTGAATTTATAGGTTAATTTTAGAAGAATTATATTCTTAACAATATTGATTTAGCATGATGTGGCCTTGTATTTAATTAGGTATTTAATTTTCCTCAGTAATGCTTTGTAGTTCTGTCTATAGAGGTCTGATCCATCATTTTTTTCCTTAGGGACTTGATGTATTAGAAGTTTTGTTCTTAAGTTTGTTAACTTCTCAGGTGACAGCTTTGGAGAGGACCATCCTTGATTGGATGCATAGGTTCTGGCATAATTAAAAGTGAGTCATCTTATTTTAGTTTCATCTTGTAGCAACATCCTTAGGAATTAGAACATTGAGCTAGGCACATTGATGCACCATTGTAATCTCACTGACTGGGGAGGCTGAAGCAGGAGGATCACAAGTTTGAGACTACCCTGGGGAACTTAACAAGATTCTATCTCAAAATAAAAATTAAAAGGGGTTGGGGGCATGTAGCTTAGTGGTAGAGCATCCCTCAGTTCAGTCCCTGGTAACACACACATACACACACAAAAAAAAAAAAAAAAAAAGAAGAAGAAGAAAGAAATCAGAGAATTGTTTAAGGTAGGCATTGGTGATTTCACCAGCACTAGTGATTAGCAAAAAAGAGTTAATTTTAGAGCTTTGGGTTTTTTGTAGTTTTATCCTGATATAAAAATCTTTCCCACTTGTCACTGATTGTTACGTGGTTGTAACTTTCAGTATCTACACCTAAGTTTGGCCATATAAGTGCCTTTATGATACTTGTTTGCCATAATGCACTGAGCATCCAGTCAGTTTTTAGTAATTACTTCTCTAAGTTAGGGCTTCTGCCAGACTTTCTGGGCCCCTCATAATGTAGCTCCATCAGATTGTCCATTCGTGAATATGAATATTGCATTGCAATACAATACAAGGCTCTCTTGAGGCTTGCTTTCTCATAGCCTTAGTACATTCTGTGTTTATTTTTTCATTTAGGCCTTTTCTCATGTTGTTTTTCTCCTAAGTAAATCCTGCTGGCATTAGATCTTGATATGGAAGCCTTTTCTTTTTGATGTCTCTTATAACCTTTCTCTCATAATTACATGTGAAATCTTGCACCACAGAATTCAACATGTGTTATGATGGTTTTTGATGTGTTAGTTTGTTTCCTTGGTTAAACTGTCAGTTCCATATGAGCAATGACTCCATTTTTCTTCCTATCTTCCCCTCGACCAGCACTGTCCAGAGCTGAGTAAGTACTTGTCATTTAATGACAGTAAAGCACAGATTTCATTTTACAACAAAGACTTGGGATTGGCTCAGATTTGTTCTTGATTAGCTCTCTTCTGTCAGAATATCAGAAGGGGTGTGTACATAGGAGGGGAAGTGGAGGGAGTAGAAGATGTGAAAGTCTTCAAAATTCATGTGTTTTCTAGATGACTGTGATGGGCCTGTCACAGAACTTCTGGAAGGTGTGCTAGTCAGCTTTTTGTTGCTTTGACAAAAGGAAGAAGGATTCATTTTTGCTGGGTTTTAGTCCATAATCAGCTGACTCCTATGGTGAGACACAGCATCATGGTAGAGAGACTGTGATCATGCAGAGCTGCTTACATCATGGTGGCCAGAGAGAGAGAGAGAGAGAGAGAGAGAGAGGGAGGATCTGGGGACAAGATATAGGCCCCAATGGCACACCCCCAAGGACTTAATCCCTTCAACTAGTCTCACCTCCTATAGTTCCCACTATATTTTAGCAGTCCATTTGGATTATGAATCTATCAATGGATTAATCCACTGATGAGGTTAGAGTCCTCAGATCTAATCTTTTCTTAAAGCCCCACCTCTGAACATTGCTGCTTTGGGGGTTTTCTAACATCCTTTGAGGGGTGTTCCAGATTCCAACTCTAATAGAAGGTGGCCATAATTATTATTTGTTGCATTCCTTCTATATGTTAGACACTATCCTAGGCTTGGGGGATACCAAACATAGATTCTGCTTTCAAGGAAGTTAGTTACATGTATTTAAGGTGGTATAGGTGGTACCAAGGGAGTGCCTCAATTCTCAGTAGTTAATCTGTCCATTTTCTCTATTATATACTGCCATCGCTTTGGCAGATTGCTCTTGGGTACATGCAAGAAGGGTGGTTTGGAAGGTGCCCCTGGGCAGCCCCTGAGACAGTGGTTCTGCCTTCATGGTGAGTCATGGTTTGTTGGTTTAGGTGTGTGAAGCATCTAATACTATGCAAGAGTGGTGATTTGATTCTCCCCAAATTACTGACATTCTTAACTGTACTCTCCTTTGTTTATCATCATAGTTCATTCAGCAGACAACACAAGAATGGAATTAATTATTCCAGGAGAGCAGCATTTCTACATGAAGGCGGTAAATGCAGCTGAAAGACAGAGGTGGCTGGTTGCTCTGGGGAGCTCCAAAGCATGTTTGACTGATACTAGGACTAAAAAGGAAAAAGGTAACTATAATTTTTCCCCTGTGGCAAGAGCATTTTTAAAGACATAAAATAAATTGCCCTGTCTACTTATTAGTAATGTGCTGCAAAGAAATAACCAGTAATGTAGAAAACTTACATATATATTTAGATGATCATAGTTGAAAATTTGTAAGCAGTGTAAAGGTATAAATTGAGGGGAATGGTTCAGTAAGTAAACTGGTGCTTCCATTAGTTGATATTTAATGTGGCCAGTAAAATGTTTACAAGAAGTTTTAATGATGTGAGAAAATGCCCAGGGTTAAACAATCATTAATGAAGGGAAGGGCTGGGCTGTAGCTCAGAGGCAGAGTGCTTGCCTAGCATGTGTAAGGCATTGAGTTCGATCCTTAGCACCACATAAAAATAAACAAATAAAATAAAGACATTCTGTGCATCCATGACTAGAAAATTTAAAAATAAATAAATAAAAGCAGGACTCAAAATTAAATATAGTGTCAGTATTCATTGGCAGGTTTAAGAAAGATGTATAAGAGTTGGTTGTTACAAAGTTGTTACTTTGAAAAAAGGAATTTCTTGCAAATCAAAACCACCCTAAGATACCATCTCACTCCAGTAAGATTGGCAGCCATTATGAAGTCAAACAACAACAATTGCTGGCGAGGATGTGGGGAAAAGGGTACACTTGTACATAGCTGGTGGGACTGCAAATTGGTGCAGCCAATTTGGAAAGCAGTATGGAGATTTCTTGGAAAGCTGGGAATGGAGCCACCATTTGACCCAGCTATTCCCCTTCTCGGTCTATTCCCTAAAGACCTAAAAAGAGCATGCTACAGGGACACTGCTACATCCATGTTCATAGCAGCTCAATTCACAATAGCAAGACTGTGGAACCAACCTAGATGCCCTTCAATAGACGAATGGATAAAAAAAAATGTGGCATTTATACACAATGGAGTATTACTCTGCATTAAAAAATGACAAAATCATAGAATTTGCAGGGAAACGGATGGCATTAGAGCAGATTATGCTAAGTGAAGCTAGCCAATCCCTAAAAAACAAATGCCAAATGTCTTCTTTGATATAAGGAGAGTAACTAAGAACAGAGTAGGGACGAAGAGCAGGAGAAGAAGATTAACATTAAACAGGGATGAGAGGTGGGAGGGAAAGGGAGAGAGAAGGGAAATTGCATGGAAATGGAAGGAGACCTTCAGGGTTATACAAAAGTACATACAAGAGGAAGTGAGGGGAAAGGGAAAAATAATACAAGGGGGAGAAATGAATGACAGTAGAGGGGTTAGAGAGAGAAGAGGGGAGGGGAGGGGAGGGGAGGGGGGATAGTAGAGGATAGGAAAGGCAGCAGAACACAACAGACACTAGTATGGCAATATGTAAATCAATGGATGTGTAACTGATGTGATTCTGCAATCTGTATATGGGGTAAAAATGGGAGTTCATAACCCACTTGAATCAAAGTGTGAAATATGATATATCAAGAAACATGAATGTTTTGAACAACCAACAATAAAAAATTAAAAAAAAAAAAAGAAAAAAGGAATTTCTGAGGATACTTACTTTTCACTGTATACCATTTAGTACCTTTTGACTTACTCATGAAGGTGGGTTGTTAATTCAAAAAGATTAAATAAATGTCAAAAGCAAAGGAAATGGTATATGGTATTAATTGAACCATATGTGGATATAATTTGAAAATAATGACAGTATTTGTGTTTTCATAGATTGATTTTTCTGTATTTTCTAAAATTTTTCACTGAAAATATATTATTTTTATATTTAAAAAATATTAAATTAATAAAGACAACTAAATTATGGATATTGAAAAATGGAGGCTTAGGATGGAATTTACATTACTACTCAAATATAGGAAGGAACATCACGGATAAAGTACATCTAAGGAGCTGATAAGAAAGAATGGATATTTACAATAGCTAACAGATAGAAACAACACAAATGTTGATAGTTGAATGGATAAACAAAATGTGTGATACATATACAAGGGAATATTATTTGACCTTAGAAAGAAGATTCTGACATTTGCTGCAATTTGGGTGAACCTTAAAGACATTATGCAAAGTGAAATAAATTCATCACAAAAAATAAATATTGGATGATTCCACATATGAGATACCAAGGATAGTCAGTCTGATTTATGCAGACAGAAAGTAGAATGGTAGTTCCCAGGCCTTACAGGAAAGAGGGAACAGGGTTAGTGTTTAATGAGTATAAAGTTCTCATTGAGAAAAATGAAAAAACTTCTGGAGACAGATAATGATAGTGTTTGTATGACATCTGAATGTACGTAATACAAGTGAATTGTACATTTAAAAATGGCTATAGTGGCAAATTTTATGTTATGTATATTTTACCATAATTAAAAAAGAAACAAAGGAATGGACTATAATTTGGGGAAGAATTGATTTAGGTTAGATCAAATGTGCAGATAGATCTGCTTTTGTACATTCTGCAGAAGTAGCTTTGTGGCTGGTACCAGAAAGCAATGGCATTGGCCTGGCTCAGAGAGTGTGGAGAAGCCCCAGAATGTTTATATATTTTTCTTCCTTTGCAACTTTTACTTCTAATTTAAAACGTATTGGCCTGCTGGGTGTGGTGACACATACCTGTAATTCCAGTGACTTGGGAGGCTGAGGCAGGAGGATTGCAAGTTGGAGGTCAGCCTCAACAATTTAGTGAGGCTCTAAGTGACTTAGCAATGCCATGTCTCAAAATAAAAAAGGAGTGGGGATGTGGCTCAGTGCTTAAGCACTCCTTGAACTAGGTTTCAACCCCTGATACCAAAATTAAAAAAAGGAATGAGCCTATGAGTGGCTGAGATGGTGGCTGAATAGTTAAGTTTGTCTGGAGTTAAGGAGAAGTAAGTAAGCTATTACTGAAAATTCTGAAAACTGTATAATGTGAAATAAAGTGAAAGAAACAGAAAAAAATAAATATATATACAGTATTTTTAATTATAGGAAGGTTAAAAACTCCTGTATGCCACACTATATTACAACAAAGAACACGAAAAGAGAGTTAACATCTATAAAAGTATTTGGTCTATGGGATAATAAAAGATTATTATCTTTAATGTGTAAGAATTTTTTAAAAATTATCAGTTTATATATTTTTAAGAGAAAAACAGCAGAGCTGAAAAAAATGTGCCAAGGACCCCAAAAGCCAATTTACAAAAGGGGACATACAGGCATTTTTCAATTGGCAGGGGACAAGTAATGGAGTAGAAGTATCCTGTGTGAAACGTCCAGGATCCTCACTTTATGTCTATAATTAATCTATGTGAATTTCACAGCAGACATATGACCTTTAGTTTTTTTTTTTTTTTTTTCCCCTAGTTATCTAAAGAAGTATTTTTTCAGGGTTCTGTTATCCTACTTCCAAGGTCTTACATCTCTTAAACTGTAGGCCAAAAAGGTATTTTTGGCCTTCCATTCAAATTGATTAAATTTTGTTATATTGCCCAGGGAATATGAAAATGATCTAATTGATGTTTATATATGTTTCTTTCAGAAATAAGTGAAACCAGTGAATCTCTGAAAACCAAAATGTCTGAACTTCGCCTCTACTGTGACCTCCTAATGCAGCAGGTTCATACAATCCAGGAATTTGTTCATCATGATGAGAATCATTCATCTCCCAGCATAGAGGTATAAGAGAAAGGATCCTCTCATGTCTGGTTCCACTTTGAACTATGCCTGGGTGTCCTCGTCATCCTATAGGATGATAGGGGAGCATTTTCACAGTGAGTTAGTTCCATCTATTCTGGGATCTCTCTGCTATAGACTCTTTGGAAATATATAGTACCTTCTAGGTTATGTGTCTAGCCAGAGTCAAGCTTGACTCCTTTTCTCTGGGGAATCTGTCTTTGCAACCATTTTGATGATTGGAGGTTGGGATGAGAAGCATTCCGGACAGTGATCTCTTGGCCAAGTGCATGAATTCACTGGACAGCTGTTATTCAATCTTTCTTTTGATAGTAAGGTCTCAGCTTCAACTACTGAGAGTTAATATCTTTATGAAATAACTTAAAAAATTCTTTTCAGAACAGTGATAAAGGATTCAAAATCCCGATTAGTAGTAGGGTTTGGCTAGTAGTAGGTTTGGCTATGAAATAGGATCACCCATTCTGGTGAAGGGAACTGGTAAGCCCTCTAGTCTCTGGGTGAAAGGTCAACATGCCCCAGTCCCCTTTGCCTAATGTGGTAGAAGTAGAACAAGAAATCTTCCTCCTTCCTGTTGGGGGAGGGGTCTTAGTAAGGAAGGTGAGAGTGGTTTCACGCTGGTGAATGCTGTGGTCACTGAGCTGTTTACCACAAGCTCCCTGAGGTAGGTGTTCTAACACTGCTCCAAAGCTCAGTGTCCACGTCAGGGGCCTGGGCTTGTTCTGCCATTCTTGTATTGGACTTTTCTCCTCATGCCTTAGGTTTCAGGTGACTACTAGGGTCTCGGAGAGGCCAGGGATAGATAGACCTTCTCAACTTACTGTTCTTGTTTTTAATCATGGAGCAAAAATCCTAGAAATCCCCTAGCTGACTTCTCATCTTTTTTGTCTGGCTCAAAAGAAACTTGGGGGAGTGTGAGGAATGAGTATTTGGCAAAGAATAGCCAAGACGGGCTTAAATGAGTGTGCAGTCATCCCCCAAGCCCTGAACAAAATTAGGATTTTTATTCTACCAAGGAAGAAGTAGACTGGGTGAAGGAAGGATAGACCAGAATTGTCCTGCTACTGAGTAACTCCCAAGAATGTTCCACTGCTATGACACCTTCAAAGTTCTAATAGAGAACTGAGAAATCACATTTCAGTTAAGGTTTCTCCAAGATAAATTTTTTATACACAGGTTTTCAGTATGCTATTTGATTTAAATGCAAAGTTTATTTTCTTGGAATCTAATTTCATACTGTTTACCTAAGAAGCAGACATTTCATATTTATGCATCGCTTTAATGTTATCAGGTAGTGTATTTTAAGTAATTCCTAAGTTATTAAGTCATACCCTAATCATGGGTCCACTGGAAATGATGTTTCATCACTTGATTATAAGGATATGTATGATCCCACGTAGCTGTGTGTGAGTCTGCTCAAGTCCTTCCGTGTGATCTTTCAGAACATGAACGAAGCCTCTTCTCTGCTTAGTGCCACGTGTAATACATTCATCACAACGCTTGAGGAGTGTGTGAAGATAGCGAATGCCAAGTTTAAACCCGAGATGTTTCAACTGCCCCATCCGGATCCCTTGGTTTCTCCTGTATCGCCTTCTCCTGTTCAAATGGTTGGAATTTCTTGCTTTTCTTCTACTGATATTGATTCTGGGTTTTCTTTTGTTTTTTAATTTTAGGGGGGGGGGCGGGCAACAGGCAGTGGAAAAGAAACAGTTGAAAGATTGAATTTTTTTGTTTATCCTGTATTTTGTATTAGACCTCTCTGCTAATGAGCTAAGCATGAGTATAGATCTACTCTCTTCCTGGAAGGGGCTGCACAGGCCTGCCCCTGAGCTGCTGTCCCCAGGAAAACATTGTAATGCACTGTATGTGCTGGGACTCAGAAAGGGTTGTGAGCACACTTGCTTTATAGTGGGGCAATGTTTTCCTCCTAATGAGATGCAATGAAGCATGTCTTTAGAAGATTGGAAGGGACTTGAAACATGTTCCAGTGGGAACAGCATTCTGTAATCAGCATTAGTTTTGAACCCCCCAAGTAGGCAAGTCACTTAATCTCTCTGGTCCTCAGTTTCTTCATTTGTACAGTAGAGTGTCTTCTCTATCAGAGGGCCTTTGTGAAGGATCTGACCTGTTAATGCTGCCTGTCCAATGTTGGTTTCTTTCCTCTTGATTACTTGAACAACCAGAGTTCTTTTCTCTGGGGGCGGAGGATTCGTTGTCCTTTTTGTCCTTTTCAGGCTATTGAACTTGCTCTGGCATGCTGTGGGGAACTTGTAGGTGAGATAAAGTTTGATAAGACTAAATTTTTTTCATCAAAGTGCTTTTAGGAGGAAGAATGCTACATGGTTATTGTTTTAGCAATCACCAGAAGAGTTATTGGTTAGAAGAATAGGATCCAATTTATTCCTAGGTTCTCTTACCCACCCCAGCAAATTGAATTACATGAGATTTAGTAAAGATTATTCCTAAATTTATTTAGAGCTTTGTTTTCTAATGTCCTGAGACAGGTGTACCATGAAGATAAATTTTATGGTCAGTTTATTTGGGAAGTTTTGGTTGACTTAAGTGAATTAGGTTTTTTGGTCCCAATCTGATAGGAATAGTCTAGCCAGGACTTCTCAGAGCCTCTTTTTAATGCTGAAATTTAGTGTGAATTGTTGAGAGAGGTAGTGTGCAGTATTTCTGAAATTTGTCAGTTAATATCCTTTTTGCTTATTTTTGAGTACTGTCATAGGACTGTAGGGTTTAGCAGAACCCAGTTTGACAAAATTGCTTTTTAGAACAATTGTAAATATGCTATAAATTGTTAAATAACATGTATTTAGAACATGTAAAAGAAACCAATCTTTTGAGTTGGATGTACAGTGCTCTCTCTGTTCCTGAGGTTGATGCATGAGGGGTACTTGGGTTATTATTTTTTTTAAAGGTATACTACATAGAGTCAAGTGCAATAAAAATACTTCATTGCTACAATTTTTGCATTGAACTCTTTAGGAAATGTCTTTGGAGAAGTCAAATGTGTATTTTCTGTATAATAACTGACTCTTTTAAATCAAAAAAATCTTTAATCAGCAGAAAAGTTACAAAAAATCCAATGAGTTAGGGGCTGGGCATATAGCTCAACTGGTAGAGTGCTTGCCTAACATTCACAAGGCTCTAGGTTTAATCCCCAGCACCACCACCACAAAAAAAAAAAAAAAAAAAGAAAAAGAAAAAAGAAGTCCAATGAGTTAATCTAAGAAATATTAGGTTAGAGGCCACTTAGGTTTCCTAATTATGCCATTTTGTTTGACACAAAAAAAGCAAGAATTGTGGGTTATGGCAGTTTTTCCAGAGACACAGCATAGAAATTAAGTTCAGACAGTCTTCAAAGGCAAAAAAAATAACAAATTTTTAATGAGTTATTTATTTATATGAAAAACTGTTGTTATTTTTGTTGTTGTTGTACTGGGGATTGATCCCTGGGGCATTTTATCACTAAGCTGTATCCTCAGCCCTTTTTATTTTTAATTTTGAGACACAGTCTGCCAGGTTGGCCTCCATCTTGCAATCCTCCTGCCTCAGCCTGCTGAATATCTGGGATTATAGGTGTGCACTACTGTACTTGGTGAATAAACAATTTATTTTTTATATAAAAGTTTGCTTATATTAAAAATGAAGCTGAATTTTTTTGAGAGCTCCTAAACTATTTAATCTGATCTTTAAAACTGGCTCATCAAGCTTATTGAATCCATCTTAGAATAAACTTGCATTTAACTTTATTGCAAATCATCATGTTAGTACAGACAGTTGTCATTTTGGCAACTGATTGAGTTCTTCTTGTGGTAAGGATATCACTGGATGAAGTAATCCTAAAGGAAGTAATTTCTGTTAAAAGACATGTTAGTATCTATCTGCGTCTTAATGACTGTCATATTAGATGTATCTGGACTACAAATTGGGTTGGTCATATCTGATATTTCTACTGGTATTTCTCATCAACTAGTGGCTTTGTTTCAAGTATGGAAGGCATTTGCATAACATAAATGCTAGACCTGTACTTGTGAGATTCTTAACTCCATGTATATAAAGGCAACCACCTTAAACCTTTAGTATAAACTTTGCCTTTCTGCTACCTTGTTAAATGTTGAAATCATCTGTTTTATTGCCGACCTTTATTTTTTAATGGGAGTTTAAGCTTCTAAATTACATTTAGTATTTGTTACATTAAATGCTCAGCTTAATCAGATATTTATGTTTAAAATATGTGGTAGAAACCTATTTGAGACTTAGGGTTCATCTGAGTTCTTTAAAGACTTGAATTATTCATGCAGTTCTCTATGAAAGCCACACTTTGGAACATCTGTGTGTCAGCTACCTGAATGATAAATGGTAAAGAGAAGCTTTGTTACTATCTATGCCTGCCCTTTAGAGAAAAAGAAAGTGATGTTTATTAGAATACTTTTCTGGCTTGCTGCTTAGTCCTTATTACAAAAAGTGTGACTTTTGGATTAGTTTTATATACTGTTTTTTTAATATTTTTATGCATGTATACATATCATATTCATATGTGTATATATACATATACAAACATATAGTAGTTTTTAGTATTGAGAAAAGAATACAGCATGTTTTTGGTATGTGTTGAGAAATTTTCCAATCAATGATTATTATTAGGGAGAAAGGTTGACATTGAGCTAATGATGTTTCTTAAGTCTTAAGATAGGGTTTTATTTTTGGCCAGGCATCTTTTTCTCTATAAATTTATGATAATTGTCATAACAGTAGTAAATCAGAGCTGCATTATTCTACTTCACATGTGGATCATGCTAAGTTTTTTTTTTTTTCTTTAATTTCCAGATGAAGCGTTCTGTCAGCCACCCTGGTTCTTGCAGTTCTGAGAGGTAAAATAACCTTTTCTTTTGGCCACATTCTTTCAAACTTATGCCTAGTTAGGAAATTCTTTGGGCCTCTAACAGTGGCGTGGAATGAAAACTCTGCATGGGTAAAGTGTGGTTCTGGTTCACTCCTCACAGTATCAGTGTATATACATCTCTTAGAGCTTGATATCAGGTCCTGGTCCCAGTGGAGAATCAGGAAAGAAAAATGGAGTGAATAAATTTACCCAAGGTAAGCACCTTGCCAGCCATTGGAGCTTTTTTAGGTATTGTAAATGTATCAAATGATGGTTAAGCATACTTGATGTAGTATGGCTGCACAACTGAGGCTCATTTTATTTTACATCAGCTTTTTGTAGCATCCTATATACATGCTAAGGTATAGTTTTATTAAATGAGAAAGATCTTTCTGAAAAGAGAAATCCACGTGATCTTTTAGTATATATTCCTTTTAACACACTTAAAAATTATACCTTCTAGTTAGATCTTGCCAATATACCAGGTTATTAAAGTTTTCTTTTCTTTTCTTTTTTTGCTTAGGTAATAGTCTTTTAAATTATAGCGGTTGTCTTACTTGATTTGAAGTTATAGTTTCATTCTATTTCTCTATGCTAAATGTTAAGTGCTAAACACTTTTTTGTCAGGTTTTTTTTTTTTTTTCTCTAACACTTATATTATTGTTGATTGAACCATCATATGCTCAGAGGAAGCCAGAGATGATGTGTATATCCAACCATGTCAGGGAATGAAGAGTTTTACCACCTGAATTTTCTGGAAATATGGAAGCTTAAACAGTCATTAACAATTTTTTTAAGTTTTATGAAAGAAATGTTTCTAAACTGTACTTTCCCCTTTCTGCCTTATGAAGTAAGATATAAATTATATATCATTTCTCTGATGCATTAAGGTTGCCATTAATTACAGTAATATTTGGCTCGTATAAAATATCCTCTGAGGTACTGTTAGATGGTAGTGATTGGCTTCCATGTTTAATTTTTTTAGACTAAATATTAAAACTTTTTTTGGCCCTCTTCATCTTCTCTTGCTGCTGTCAGTGAGTTTGCCACCAGCATTTTCTGTATACTTCTTTGTCATGTCCTTTATGATCAGATTTGTGCACTTGTAAAACCCATAATTATTTTCCAAATATTAGTGAACCATCTGATACGGGTACTGCCTTGGTGGACCTTCTTCTCTAGAAGCCATTTCTTCGTTGTACTCCTTTTCTATTTAATTCAACCCGAGGCCATTTCTCCAGGTTACCTGAGGCTGGATTTAAGTAGGTTGACTGCTTGCAGTTTGACCCTTGAATGAAGTAGAATGTTGCTGACTTTGTTGGGCATAAAAATAGTTCCTCTTTCGATTTAAGAGAAATAATTTAAAATTCCAATTAAGTGATAGTGTTTTCCTTTGTCTAAGGTCTTATAATTCAATTTTTAAAATTTAATTTATAGGAGTAGCTACTCTATAAAAGAACCAGTATCTACACTTCACCGACTCTCCCAGCGACGCAGGAGAACCTACTCAGATACAGACTCTTGTAATGACATTCCCCTTGAAGATCCAGATAGTAAGTTAGACGGAGTTTGTCTCTTTCTTTGGCCTTTTTAGCATACTTGTTGTATTACTCTGTAATTTCTGGAAATAAGAATACTGACATTGGAGCATACAGTAACAGCTGCTCATACATCTAGTTACTAACAGCTTTGTTATCAACTAAGAAGTGCTGAGGGTTGCTTTGTAAATATCTATATTCATATATATGTATATATAAAATATCATAATCTTTTTATTCCTGCTACATTTGTGTTGAAAAAAACATTTTAGAAGAAAGCACGAATTATAGGTAGGATTTTTTGGGGGGAAAATAAAGGCAAGTTCTAAATCCAAGGAAAACAAATCAGTTGTTCTTACTTATGTGCCTTGATATGGCTAAGGACAATAATTCTGTCTGGTAGTAGTGGTGAATGATAATAGCATTTATTCGTTATTTTTCTCTTGTATTAAAGAGGGGTTATATTGTGATTTTTAGGAAAATTTTTGTGATTTGTATACTTTTATTTTTTGTTTCTGAAGAGAAAAAAGCTTTGAAAGTGTATTAGGTTACCTAGTTTGACAGTGGTGACCATGATTTCTAGTGAACACGAATACGTCTTCTTATTATATTGCCATGAGTAGACTATTACTGTTTAGTCTTTACTATTTCCCAGGAAGCATGGGGTTTAGAAATTACATACAGTTCCTAGTTAAGGAGAAGATTGTGCTCCAAAAGTTCATTTGTAAGTCATTTGTTTGGAACACCAATTTTATTTCTCTTAGGAAGTGACACAGTAAATGGTGGTCAGATTTTTTACATAGCCTAGGACAACCCAGCTAAATCATAGCAAGGCTGGGTAGGACAAAAAACATGTCATTGCATTTCTAGTCTTTGATTATGTGGGACACACTGATTAAGATAGAGTTGTTTTACTTAAAAGGAAGTCAAACAGGTTTTGTTGGAGGAGGAAGTAGAGTTCATGCAGATGATGGGATTCCGAATGGGGCTGGTGGCGTTTTCAGATATTTAGAAGGTAGTGGCATCTTTCTTTAAAATAGAACTAATAACCTGTTTAATGACATAGGACATTTACTTACTACCGTTTTGAATTTAAGTTGGAACATTGGAGATGTGAAAAAAGGAAAAGAGGTGAGGGTAGGGAAGGGGGAGGGAAGAAAACAGTTTTCCTGGCCAGCTGAGCAAGACCTGGTAGAGAAAGGGAAAAGGAGAAGAGGGTTAAACAGGTTATGTGAAAAAGTTGTCTCTGAAGCAGGAATATAGATTCGTATTACTGTTGTTCTTTATGCTTTTTATACACAACTCTTTCAATCCAGAGCTCCTGAGAATATTCAGTGTGCTGCCTTCTAAATGATACTTCTTTTTTTCTTTTTAAAGAGGATCTTTTGTGATAAGTTTTTATAAAACTAGCCATTTTTCCTTAGTTCCTTTCTTTTTTAAGACTCTGGGTCCTGATTTTTTTTAAAAGATTTAGGTTTATATGCCTTAGTACATTTAGCATTCCATAATTCAGCTGTTAGGACTATAACAAAACTAATTTCTCACACATAAACACACAAATATGTATGTATATCTCATTTTTTCAGAACTTCTCTAAATAGACAAAGTCAAAAGTTTCATCCTTAGATTTTTCTGTTTATGCTAAAGCTAGTGTTTCAGTTAGTTGACAAAGCAGAGAATTACCATTCTTTCTTTTAAAGCATATACATTGCATTTGGCAGTCTTCATTGAAAGTCTTTATTCACAAATGTTCTTCTTGTGAGGTACAACTGCTTCTGTTTTTAAATATTTTTTAAATTAGAAAAGTAATAAAAGGTCTTGTACATTCAAACAATATGTATAAAATAATCCACTCTGGAGCAGGACTATGCTAGTGTATTCAGTTGTGTCCTTTTGGAGTTTCAGTGGTATTTCTGTGAGGTGCATTCCATGTGGAAAGATGGGGACTTTGCCTAGAAAGTCTCATGAAGAGGAAGACTTTAATTTATCTTAGTTCTCATACCAGTTGTAGATCTTAGGTAAGACATGTAATCTGCTTTGGATCTTTGATTCTTTGCATAGAAGCAAGGAGGACATAACAGCATTAAAATAGACTGAAAAAGCAATAATTAAGGAAGGTTAAATTCAATTCAGCAAGTATTTATTGACTGCCCATTATGTGCCAACCACAATTTTAGCAATGAACAAATCAAAAATCTCTACTTCAGATAGTTTCTTAATTATCTCATGAACTCTGAGGATTCTCCTTATAATTGTCAATAGTAGAAAAGTTAGATTTTTCTTTATTAAACAGTCAAAATATTAATAGGAAGTTAAAGGAATTTCATGTCTCAGAACAGGGAATTGAGAATGTTCTTTCATAGAGGTCTGGAGTTAATACTGATAAGAGTTTAACCTTTGAATCAATTTCTTACTAGGACCTGTTCACTGTTCAAGAAATACACTTAATGGAGATTTGCCATCAGCAACCATTCCTGAAGAAAGCAGACTTATGGCCAAAAAAAAATCTGAATTGGAAGATCCTCTTCCATCCTTCTCTTCCTGAGGAAACTGAAGTGTCCAACTTCCTCTAAGTATTGCTATGCAAAAGCTGCTGTTATCAACTTGTTATAGGGAGTAGTTTTTCCCTTTACTTAGTATTTCTCTGCACTTTATAGAATATTGTAAAACAAACAAACAAACAAAAAACAACCCACATACTTTTGAAGTGTATTTTATCTTTATATAGTTTATTTGCAAGAGTATTTTCCTAATAACTTCACAGTATGAATGTGCATCTTTCTTTTTTTTAAAAAAAAAACAAAAACAAATGATGCTGTAACATTTTGACATCCATACGGACAAATGTAGATATTTTTCTAAAAAACTGTGAGGGACTGACATCTTGGTCAGTGTGTATTGTAGCTTATAAACATGAAATCTTGTAAGGTTTCAGTTTGACAGAAGTGTGATACATGTAAATTGTGCCATGGACCAAAAGATCACTTTACCCCAGCTTAAAATGAGTTATGATAGCAGCTTGATGGTGAATGTATCAAATTCCTTTAAGAAAAAAGGAAACGCTTAATATTCTAAATATCTTTAGCCCAAATAACATGACATTTTGAATATTCTTTAAAAACCAGACTGTGCTGTCCTTCATATGTGAAGTTGACACTACTGATTTGTCAATACCAAATGTTGGGTTAAAGTATTTAATTTTATTTATTTATTTTCTTGTTTCCTCAAAGATGATTGTTTTCTAACTTTTGTGACCTACCAAATTTAAGATGTGTATATGTTGTTATTTACATTGTTCTACAAAAGAGGATGATGTTGTAGTGACTTGGCTCACTTACACCAGAGAAATAAATGACTTTCAATGGAAGAGGATTTTAGTGCTTTTTTCCTGAAGTAGACATTAAGCTGCTGTTATAAGGTATTGTTTGCAGCTCTTTAGAATATCTAGAGACATTTTTAATTTATGACTATTTATACAAAAAAGGAATCCTGTCAAGATGACTGTTCTGTATCACTTGAGAATGGCATTATTTAAAGAGCAGTTAGCATTTGTTTGATAGTGCCTGTCCATATCTATTGTCAGTGTTTGCCTTGTAATCTCTCTCTCTCTTTTTTTTTTATTCACTTTGGGATGATAGTTCTGTCCAAGATTTTGGATGAGCAGCACTTTAAAAAAACAAATTGGCTTGGTGTTTTTAAGTTAATCATGTGTTTAATAAATATGTGGTTTTTGCATTCAAACTCATCATATAATATATTGTATTTTTTACATTCACTGATATTATGTGTAGTCTTTATTAAGTGTTAATAGTATTCTTTATTGGTATGATTTCATTTGTATATTCAGGCCTACTGGTAAATACACAATGAAGCATACTTTTAGCTTTTTGTTGCCTGTGAGCTTAGAATGGTGTAGCTTATTTCCCTTTAAATTTCTCTTATAAGTTTATGTGGCAGTTTTTTTGAAATGAATTAATAGTTGATATTTACGCAGATAAGATATGTAATTATAGGCTTTTTAAGTTTAAGATATGACATCAATGATCTCTATACATTAACATGTATTTAGATAAAATGCTACTAAACCTGTTTGTGATTTTAAATAGCACGCAGGTCACAGACTACTCTGTGTTCAGTGGAATCTTCCTGCTCATAAGTTATATTTCATGTCTAATTGAAAAAAAAATTGATAATGTGGTAAGTTTCCATGTTGAATGGACAGTCAGGTTTTGTTTTTGTTTGTTTTGTGGTAGGAACTTGCACAGTGATGAAACCTTGAAGGTCAAGGTGCTTCTGGTAAAGTTTTTCTGGTAGTTTTTTTTTTTTTTTTTAGGTATTACATTTATAATGAAAACATTAATAAGATTTTGAATTCATAGGAAATAGTCAAGCCTATTTTCTATTGCTTTATAGATGGATAAGTTTGTGAAGTTTTCTGTAAATATTTTAAAAATAAAAAATAGTCATTTCTAATTTGTATTATTTTTCACCCTTGAAACAGGTACTTGAATAGGTGTGCTTTAACCCTAAGAATGGCTTTTATTGTGACTTGGATCCACTTTTTTTCTTTAGGAACCAAATAAATTTGTGAAATCATCTTTTTTTTTTTTTTTTGAGTGGGTATATATATGTGTGTGTGTGTATATATATATATCTTAATTTTTAAGTAGGTTTTGGATTTTTTTTTTTTTTTTTTTGAGACAAGGTCCTGCTGTGCTGCCCACATGGGTCTCAAACTTGTGGGCTCAAGCAGTTCTCCTGCTTCAATCTCCGGAGTACATGAGACTACAGGTGTGGTGACACCTTGTATATATCTAGGTTTTTTATTAGTGGATTAATAGCATGAAGCAACTTCTAAAGAGTAAGGTAATCTTGCATTTTGAGAAACCCCATGTATTTTCAAGTGTGCCTGACTTCTGAGTTTTAAGGTAAAAGTGAACCAAATGAAAACAATTCTGTAAGAATTTTAGCTTATCAGGTTTTTCTATGATATATAGTTATTTATTGACTCTTTCTTGCTTTGTCTAAGGAATGGGGTTATTGAGAACTCTGGAGACTCTTTTGACATGTCAGTGGTCTTCTAAGAAAAACCAGTGTTTACTTTTCATCTGAAGTGCCTGGTATACTCCTCCATGATTAGAGGGTTCTTGATAAGAATTATTTTGTAAATGAACTTAATTTGAATTTTGTTACATTATATTGAATAATTGTTTTATCTTCAATCAAGATAAGTCTAGAAATGGATGCTATTGCTAAATTTAAATTCCAAGGCAGGAGATAAAATATCTTAATTTTCACAGATGCCTTGGAACCTGTGACCCCAAATTAGTTTTTTACTATGCATTATCACATTTAGAAATTTAAAAATCATCATAAAAATCTCAGGAAGCTTGTATTTGTGGTATATTAATATTAGAGTGCTGTTAATATTATTGCATCCTTAATTTAGACTCTGCTGGTTTTTCCTTTATTTAATGAGGTACCTCTGTGTCTGTCATTTGAGTTTTGCTGTTGCAGTTTTGTCATTTGTGGCCTGGAGGGAAGCCCTATTTGGTTATAGGTGTTCCTGTAGAGAGGTCTCTCTTTTAAGAGCTCTGCTGAGTAAGTAAATGGTAGGTAGCTGATAGATAGGGCTACTGTTTCATGTCTTTTTGGTTCCTCAGTCCTCTCTTTGAATATGCTGAATTTGTAAGTTTAAATTCTTTTCTTTCCTTTTTTTTTTAAAGTTAGGTTTCTTATTGAAATAATTCATGTACATAGTTGAAAGAAATAAAATACTTGAAAAGAGCAATTTAGCATCCCAAAGAGGTATACTTTAATGGTTTATTTTAGTATTTACTTCCTATTTAAAAATGATAGTACTTTTTTTCTTGATTTAATCAGTTTCAAAAAGGAGTTATTGAATTCTTTTTATGGTAGGCAGGATTTACTTTTTTATATCCACATGTCTCCTGATTTTCTTTCCCTATCCCTTCCCTTACCTAGATTTTGTTAAATCAGTAGTTACAAATATTGTTCACTGACAGTCTACACGACTATCATTATTTACTTTCTATTATTTTTCCTAGAGTTATGTTGCCCAGTTGTAAAATTTGCTTAGTATTGTTTATATACCTATCACAGTGATAATCCAAAGCCACAATTCCTCAAAAACATCACATAATTTATAGATTTCTTTTTATGGTTGCCCTATATGGGCAGAATTTCTTCCACAATCTCTCTTTTGCCATTTGGACTGTGCACTCTCCTGGCACAGTCTATGTTTCTGTCTATGCATTGTGATGTAGTCTTACTTTGTATCTCCTGTTTATTCGATACGATGATTTCTTCTTTCTTGATTTACTGTCTCTATTTAAAGAATTGTTTTTGCCAGAGCTTACGCACAATAGCTTCCTGAAAAGATGCATTGGAGGTATAGATTTTGAGGCTTTCCCGGTTTGAAAATGTCTCTACTCTGGATTGATTGTGGTTAGGAGTCTGTCAAAAAGAATTTCCTCTCAGAATTTTAAAGGCACTGTCTTTCATCACTTGATATTACTGTGAGAATTCTGACATCCTTCTTACTTTTACTCTCTGGAGGCATTTAGGAGCATCTCTTTACAAAAACCCTAATGTTTCAAAATGTCTGTCTTTATTCATTCATTTTAATGAGTACTTGACTTGGTGGAGTCTCCCAGTAGATTTGCCTGCTTTGATTCTAAGAATTTTTTGTATGTTGTTTCTTTGATTATTCTTTCTGCCCCATTTTGAGTGTTGAACTTCCCAGATTCCAGATTGATACTCTAATTTTAAAAGTATTTTCTCCATTTGCTGCTTCAATTGTATTATTTTTTGTTGTTTTTGTTACCCTTTAGGTCTTCAGTTGAATTTTCTACATTTAAATTGCCAAGAGATCTTTTTACTTTGTTACTTTTCATAAAACCCTATTTTTATTTTATAGATTCAGTGCCTCTTTATCTCCCTGAGTACAAAATAATGGGCTTTTCCTTATATCTTTCCTCTTTCTTTCATCATTTCTATTCCCCATATTCCTGCTTTTTATTTGTGTTGTACTCTTTCTTTCTGAAGGCTTTCTTAGGAATTTGGAGAGATCATCCATTCAGGTTAGTCATGTACCACAAAGCTAATTTCATAGGCCTTTATGTTTGGGCTGTTTTATCAGTTGTCTTAAGGGCCATGGGGCAGAGGGCTAGCCTTTTCGGTTAGGATCTACTGAATTTCAGTGGAGATTTTTTTCTTTGGTGTCATTCAATTTCTCTAGAAAGTTGCTTTCTGAAAATAGCTTAGGAGAAGATGGCTGAAAACCCTACAGTTTGTATGATGGCCTTTACTTAAACTCTGTATTTTCAGCTTTCTTCATATCCCGTCCCATCCCACCTAAGTCCTCTATGATTTGTAACTCTCTGTTGCAGTTTTCCTGTGGATAGCAGAAGAAGGTGGTTGGCGGCTGTGGAGAGTAGGGGAGAGAACCAGGGATCCAATTGCTTTTGTATAGAGTTCTAATCCTCATTTCAGCCCTGTGCCTCCCTCCTTTTAGCCCTGTGCCTCCCTCCTTTTTTCTACAATAACAATATTTCCAAATCTTGCACTTAACAGAGGTTTGGTGTATTTTTGCTTCTCCCTCTTAGGCTTCTGCTTAGGCTTTAACCTCCTCCATACTCCTCCTGGCTTCTATTCTTTGAAACTTTTGAGATTTCTTGACTTTGTATTCTGTTCTCTTTGTCTTTGTGAATTAATTCCTTTTATATTCCTTAAGTGTCTTTTTGGTGGGGTTTTGGAAGTAGAGAAAATAAATTCATGTGGCCAGTCCACCGTGTTTAACTGAAAGTCTATATTTAAATTCTAATAGTGTGTAAGAAAATAAAAATTCTTTAATATTTAGCAATTCATCCTTTCCACTTAGTAATTTTTAATTCCCATGCTTTTACTGTACTACCTACCTCATACAGCTGGCAGTACATAAAACACCTAGAATAGTGCATGGTACACAGTATGTGTTAAATAAGGATTCTTTATTATGAATATTGTTATTATCATTATTAATTTCACTACTATCATTCCGAATTCAGTAGCCCCTTTAGACTTGAATGAAGATGTTTTGCCATAGGAATAATTATTAATATCTGGGAAAATATAATGTTGATAATATTGACATTACATTACTTCACATGAGGTGTTCAGTGTTTTTTTTTTTTTTTTTTTTTTTTTGAGAAATGTTAAAGCCTTAAGAAATCCAATTAATAGTCATTACTTCAAATGTTTTAAGAATAGTATAATAATTTTGAAGTGCTTTTAACTTTATTGGAACTGTTTTGGTCTTATCATCTAAATATGAGGTATGGAGAATAAAGTTATGAAGATGGTATTTGTTATACCTTACTTGTAGCTAGTAGATATAATAACTTTTTGACCACATAGATTACAGGAATAGAAAAATAGTAGATTGCAAACATTGCATCTGTAACCTTCTTGTGAATGGTTGTACACCTTTCAGAAAATGTTGTGAATGTATACAAAGAAAATGCATGCATTTATTCAGTAGGTAAAAGTTTAATTTATTGTATAATTAGAATGTTTTGGAGAATGTTTAAATACTTAATATTTAAAAATATTTTACTTTAGATTGGTTTTTTTATGTTAATATCTAAAAGTAAAATAATTTGTTCTAGGTACAAGGTACTCTGAGCCTATTTCAAAATTCCTTTTTCTAAGATAAAGTATCCTTTTATGTTTGGATTAAGGGAGTTGCATAATAAGATTCAGTTCTTAGAAATGAAATGGAAGTAGGTGATGCATTACTTTTTTTTTTTTTTTTTTTTAATGGACACTGAGCTGTATATTTTGAGGAAGGAGATTTTTATCTCTAAGGACAGTTGAATTTTTTCTCACAAAGTAGAATCCCATGTTATGACAGATGGCTGTAAATATCAATACCTCCAGAGATTAGAATTTTTTTTATCCAAAAGCAATAGCCAGTTGCTTAGTGTAACTAAACCTCTTTGCAAATAGAGCAGATGAAAATAGATAGTAGTTGTACCCAAGGCAAAACAAACCCTGCTGTTGTCATAACACTGGCATTTTCCCCTTTCCTTGGATGTCTCTGTTATAGGCTTTATTGGGTCCTCTTACGTCTGCTTTGATCTCTGAGTTTTGATGTCTGCATCTTTAGAGTCCTTATGCTGTATCTTCTCCAAATGCGGTAATTAATCTAGTATATTTTCATAAGATAAAATTTGTCCTTTTTGCCCTTTAATATGTTCTCCCTCCCCTTGGTCTTCCTTCTTTCTTACCTTCCTTCTTCCCTCTTTCCCTCTCTTCCTTCTTTCCTCCCTCCCTTTCTTTTTGTTAATAAACCATTACTATAAGCCAAGTGTTTGACTTCATTTTAGCCTCATAATGGAGATATTAAAGTACAAGAATACAAGACCAACCAACATGCGCAGATATAGGATTAACACATGATTGGTTAGAATTAATATTATTATCTGAAATTCTAAGTGTTTGCATTATCTATTGATTGAGTATTTTAGTTCCTACACCTCTTCATTTTTTTTGGACTTAATGAATGACTAATCCAGAATTTACCAACCAAGCCC